CAGCGCCCACAAGGGGGCGTTATCGCCCACTTTGGCAAAGACTGCTCTACATGAAAGGCGAACTTGCCGTGTGACATTCTCTACCAGTTACCAGCTGCCAGAAACATTTTACATTAATATAATTATTATTTTCCTGAATGATGAGAACTCGTAGTAAAGTCTGTGCCGACATCCGAGTAATACATTTGTATCCGAAAACATTACAGATGACGAAGCTTGACGCAGCGCCGTAATTAGTGAACGCTGCAATGAATTCGTTAAAATCGGATTTAATTAGGTTGGTGTAAGAGAGGGGAGGATGCTCTCTCTCTCTCCCTCTCATTAGTTAATAATCTAATACACACCAGATTAAATACAAATGAGTAGGTCATCTTCATAGAAACCCACCGAGCGCGGTTTGTATGTGAGCGCGCCAATACGTATGCGGCGCGCACGCACACACTGACAAAATTTAGCGTGGATTAGCGGGGTGTTGCGCCGAATACAAATACAAACTGCGCTCGGTGCGTTTCTATGAAGATGACCTACTCATTTGTATTTACTCCGTACACAATTAGAGCGCTTTCACATTTAGGCGATTTAGCAGCGCGACAAACGCGCGACAGACGCGCTGCCGAAAATTGCATACTATTTATGTGACAGCGAGGATGCCTTCACATTAAGCAGGGTACTCATCTAGCCGTGTAGCATGTAATGTATCAGATACTGCATCAAGTGAGTACATAGGCACGAGCCCGCTTCGAGCTGCTCGCGCGTGGTTCGCAGCCAGTAAGCAATGACCGTGGACGAGCCGTACTCACTTGAAGGTTGGTTACGTTACATGCTACGTTACGTGGTACATGGCAGCTGAGTACCCTGCCTTATAAAACGCCGCTACCACGCTGCAGTCGTGCTACTAACGCCCTAATGTGAAAGTGCTATAATAATCGGCTAAACACTTGGAAATTAACACGATACTGCTGAACATTACGGTTCTTTTTCCCGCCAAGAAGTCACTCTTTCTACTTATAATCTGTGGAAGCAAGATTTTTTTTCTTTGGTTTATGGCCTCGCTCGAGCTACTTCGTGCGGTTTGCAGGTTTAGAACAAAGAGTTTTTATGTAATGTGAGCTTTAAACGTAAGAGGCAGATTAACAGTGAATGCGAATTTCTTTATTTTTTTCACTGTGGCTTTTGCGTTTATTATGCCAGGTTCAATATTTTTTAAGCTTAATTTTAAATAACGTATTACTAATGATTGTTATAAAATTGAAGATAACTCCCGTTTTTCCTCAACAATATTTTGCTTTCATTTAATTAGAACAACAAAAATATTTTTGTGTTGGATAGCCCATTTATGGAGGATGGCTTTAGGCTATACAACATTACCCACAGCCAATAGAGGTGGAGCAGTAAAGAAAAATGTCGCAAGAATGGGAAACATTATTCAAACTTCTTTCACGCGTACGAAGTCGCGGGCACAGCTAGTTAACAATAAAATGACTACACGTGATGGTCAATAAACATAATATTTGTAACATTATTATGTATAGGTAATATTTATAGCACAGAATTGACAAAGTTACCTACCTACTTCTCTTAGGGTGGGTTGCACCATCTTACTTTAACTTTGACAAACGTGAAAAATCTGTCAAATTCCATATAAAAAGCACCGGTTATCGTCATAGCTACCGTTAAAGTTAGGTAAAGTTAGGTGCAACTCAGCCTTATTTAAACTGTAGTTAGTGAAACGGAAAAATATTCACGAATTTTCCAACATACCTTTTTTATCAAAACGAACTGTTTCGATATTATTTGCTCGTTATTCAAATATGTTCTCTATACGTAAAAATATAAATAAATCCAGATTTCATAGAAATTGCGAAAACATTCCGTAAACGGCAGAAAAGCTGTGGCCTCAGTTCGGTTCCAGGAAAAGTTGATAGATTTTCAATTAATCATAGCTTTCTGAATATTACGTTATATTTTTATAATTGAGGCCTGTAAATGTCTTGGCAATCCAGTACGGCTAGCTCGAAAAACTTTCGAATTCGAATCGTTTGCGTATTCGAATCGCCATCAAAAGATTTAGTACGAAAACTGAAACTACGCCCTTGTGAACGTGTCGTAAAGTGAATTTAGTATGAGAAATGGTTGCACGAAACTTATTTTGAGAATCAAAATTGTCACGTTATCGTTTAATTCGAAGGTTGAGTATCGAATTTTGTCGAATACGCAAACGATTCGAAGACGAAAGTTGTTCATGCTAGAGGTACGGCTTTGCGGGATCCAGTAATGCAGGATCCTGCAAAACTGGAATGTCGTGTGAATGCACATAAACATAAATGTGTTTGAAATTCAAATTACAAATCCGAACGGATTGGTTTTTTTTGCGAGACACTGCAAACGGAATGTTTGTGTAACGTAATACCACCAAACGAGATACTTAAAAAAACAGTTCCGGCAAAAAACGGGATGTCTCCGTTCCCGAATTATGCTATGAAGAGGTAGAAAATTAAATCCTTTTTGAGCCAGTTGCCCCCTAGAGTTAATGTAGCCCTCAAAGATGGTACAACCTAAATTGCTGGTTTTAGAAAAGGAGCTAGATGGCTCTAATCCTTTAAATTCATTACAAATAAAGGAGCATGAAGCTGTGTACCAGGAAAAATTAATCAACCTTTCAATTAGGATCCCGCAGGAAGGGTGATATCGTTAATCTTCTGAAACACACTGCAAATAAAGGAGAGAGCGGACGCGGTAGCGGGAGTGAGAGTGAGAGCTTAAGTTTTAGAAAAGACTTTGTAACAACAGTCCTACTTACAAAAGTAAAGTAGTAAAGACTGTACTTGAAGTAAGTTGGTGCAACCCAGCCTTAGTAGTAAAGCCGATAGACCCTGCAACAAAATGTACATAATATAGTAATCGAGTGTCTGAATAATTAAAAACAGTCCGCTATTCTAAGAAAAGACAAATCAAAGAAAACAAAAATCAGAAAAATGATGGTTTGTTTTCAGTGTTCCATATAAAAGATTTGATTTTGATATGTTTATGACAAAATAAGCACAAATAATTTGGTATTGCAAGACAATCGATAAAGACGGACAAGGTAATTAGTAACTCAATTTAGTACATAAAACTAAGAACTTTTGAGTTAGAATTTTTTATTTCTATTAATTCTGTCTTCGTTCTTCGTTACTGAAATCAAGTTTACCCGCTCCCGCGTTTCACCGTGCCCTTACCGTGTACTGTATTGACTGCACTGACTCTAGGGATTTAATTTAGCCCATCTTGATTGGGCACAGAAAAATGTCTGCTCCCGACTCCCAGCAATTAGCTGTTATTTATTACAAGGGGTTGTTTCTTGTTGTTAGGAGGTAGAATGTGTTAGTTGTTTAGATACAATGAAATGAACGTAAAGTACTGTCTACAGTGGCGTAGCTAGGTAATCAAGGGCCCTGGGGCAAAAAAAATGGGGCCCCACTGCAATCTAAACTGGTACGGTTTAATCAAGTTTATTGACATTGAAGCACGTTTTCACCATCAATCCTTAATTTTTGAGTGACTCCTATGAAAACAAAATTCCTATAATGTGTTACCATAGGGGTCACTTAAAAATTAGGGATTGATGGTGAAAACGGGCATACGCTTACTTACTCCTGATACAACTTTCGAATTTCTCTCTATTTAAGTATTTTGAAAATGGGAGTAAGATCAGTTCAATTGAGATTTTCTGGTAAGGATACGGGGGCCCCCTGAGCTTGGGGGCCCCGGGGCACTGACCCGCCTTGCCCCTTAGTAGCTAGCCCGCTGTGTCGTGTCTAAATAACAACATTTTACTAAGCACGGTAAAAGAAACGCAGCGAGTCAAATCAACGTCGCTTCACACCCAATATTTAAGCTAGTCAAAAATATGTAATTTGAATGAAAAAAAATTGGTTATGGTATATTTTTATTAAATGAATACAAAACTTATTACTTATTATTATGAACGTGTATCGCCTGAAGGTTATTTGCCTAAAATATAGGCTCTTATATTACTTTTATAGGCTATTACAAAACCTTTTATGTATTATTACTTAACATTATTATGAGAAAAATATAATTTTGTTGGCCGAACATACAGCCAGTTCTAGATGCTACTTCTGGTGCATTCACCTTAAAATCTAACATACTCGTAATTTGTTACCCGGGCCATAATAACGAATCGATTGACACCTTATTCACCAAAATCGGATAAAAAATCTCTCAATGACTTCCCAAGTTCATGTAGGTATCAACCCATAACGTTAAGATGGGGTTTCGAGCATGTGCAAAGTAATTAAACATGATACTTTAACATAGAGGCTGCTAATTAAATTAATTAATATACAGATTCACAGGGGTATCTTACATTTTAAATATTGTAGATGGGCTTTTTAAAAACTTATCTGCATAAAATAATGTAAGTCATGACTTTCGTGACTGTTTCTGAGAGTTTTCTGTCGCATTTTCGCATGAAAACTAAGAACTACACAGCCAATAATATTTATTCCACTAAAAATAATTTCATGTAAAATGTTGCCAAGCTCGTCTTGGTTCATGGTTCGCACGGTTAAGAGTAGGCGCACACCGTTGATTTTTAGTTGGCCGATAGTTGGGCCCGTTTTTAATTTGTATGAAGAATCGGCCAAATCGAATCGGCGTAGTGTGCGCTTTCCCATACATGCCCATACTGATCAACTGCCCGACTAAACTATCGGCCGACGAAAAATCAACGGTGTGCGCCTACTCTAAAAGTTATCAGTTAGCCAAGCTTCTAATCCTAGTCGACGTAACCTCACAAACTCTACACGTTTAGATTAAATACAAGTACGTGGGTTGCATGACCGTTTCGCTATCGTCACACATTTTCGTGTGGCGGCTGTCGCTAAAGTGAAAAATTTGCCCCCGTTCATTACTACTATTTCTTTTAGTAACATTTCATTTACATTCTTTGATTTGATTTGTATAGTCCATTTATATTTTCTTTTCCTTGTCCACAGTGATCGACTGCGTCGTATCCAGTTGGGGGGCCTGGTCTGACTGCGACACGTCCTGCGGTTCTGGTAGCATGATGAGGACCAGGCGGGTGGTCCAGTCACCAGCTAGGGGGGGCCGGCACTGCCCCTCTCTGGTGCAGAGGAGGGCCTGCCAGGAGCACCAGGGATGCGCCGCGGATAGTGATGTGCCTATGAAAGGTAGGGTCTTTTGCCTCGTGTTGAAGTTATTTAAAGTCAATTCGGGTGGTCCAATCACCAGCTAGGGGGGTCCGGCACTTCCCCTCATTAGTACAGAGGAGGACCTGCCAAAAGCACCAGGGCTGCGCTGCGGATAGCGACGTGCCTATGAAAGGTAAAGTTTTTTAGTTAGAAAACTTTAGAGAGATTTAATCCAGACTTCTTCAGGGATGAAAAGGTGTAAATACAAAAGGTCCAGCGGTTTTGGGAACCCCATGAGTTGTTTGTGCCTCTAACTGAGAAAATATTTGAGGACTAGGCGACACTGCTACTACAGCTTGACCGACAATAAAAACCCAACCAGTGAAGGTTAAGGCACTTACAGGGCAGATACGTACCATCCTAGACTGCTTCTCACTTAACACCAGGTGCGATTGCGGTCAAATACCTGCCTTGATGCATAAAAAAATATTATGATACCCTATGGTATTAAGTATACCCCTTTCCATTGAGTTTCAGTTATGCCATCGCCGGCGATGGCAATCTGCACGCGTTGGTGTGATTGAAGCTTTAAGACGTGGTTTTCAAAACTGTCCTTTTTTCCTGCAGCGGAGACAGCCATGATCCTACCGGGAGAGCTGTCGGTGAGCCGGCACTCCAACGAGACGGTGGACATCAGGAAGAACCTCCGCCTGAGGAACCCTGACGACCCGGAGTCCAACTCGCATAGAGAGTAAGTTAAAACAGTCCTTTGATAGGGTTAGGGCACTTTACGAGATCGAATCAGAAATGAGGAGATCCGTAAACGAACTAAAGTCGCTGACATAGCTCGACGGATTAGCAAGCCGAAGTAGCAATGGGCAGGGCACATAGTAAGCAGAACTGACGGCCGATGGGGCAGCAAGTTTTTGGAGTGGAGACCGCGTACCGGAAAACACAGCGTGAGACGTCCACCCAAAAGGTGGACCGACGATATCATAAAGGTAGCAGGAAGGCGCTGGACGCAGGCCGCTACCAACCAATCATAATGGAAATTATTGGGGGAGGCCTATGTTCAGCAGTGGACGTCCTATGGCTGAGATGATGAAGATGATGAGGGCAAAAGTTGAAAATTCTAAATGTAAAGGACAACGTAAAGTTAAAAATTGATGTAATCAAGTATACCTACCACACATAAAGCGAAGTTGATTTGTCCTATTTTTGTTACTTTCGCATTATTGTACGTAAATGCGTCATAAATGTGAATGAGGACGCGTCAATTTGTCAAAGACATGTATGACGTGTGACGAGTCTACTCATGCTTTTATCTGTAATAAGTTGATGTTATGGAAAATCAATATTATCCTGATTCAAGCCAGAGATTTGTTGAATACCAATCACAGGCTTGGATCTTTTCTTGAGTATGAAATCTTGAAATCCATTAAATCCATTAAAGGATATGGGTTTCATCATCATCATCATCATTTCAGCCGTAGGACGTCCACTGCTGAACATAGGCTTGCCCCAATGATTTCCATGTTGACCGCGGTTGGTCGCGGCGTTCAGCGACTTCCTGCTACCTTTATGATGTCGTCGGTCCACCTTGTGGGTGTCCACTCCAGAATATGGGCTTAATACTACCAATTCCTAATATTTAGTTAGCGATCGAATATTTTGAAACTTGTCATTTCCTTGAGGTCGTCAGTCCATAGAACATACGTTGGTTATATTTTATTTACAGCTTCATGCATTTGTTCCTGTAAAAATATTTTATTTTCATGGAAAGGATACTTCTATTCGTACATTTTAGGAATTTGCTAGCAATTTGTTTTTCGAAATAATCTGAATAAATAATATTTCGATACAATAAAAAAGGAATGTACGTACGAGACTGCGGCCCGAGAAACCAATCTTGCGGTATTTCCCAGAAGGGTTGTCACAAATACAGAAGTATTTTATTTTATTAAAATTGAAATGGTTTTCTCAAAAATAACAAAAATAGGTACCTACTTCATATGATTATTGTTACTTATGCATGAAGTAGGTAGGTATTTTTATGTTGATTTGTCTAATTATGTGTTATGTTCAATTCCCTTCAAAGTGTATTTATGTTATTGTTTTAGTAGGAAACTATTTTAATGTATCACCGAAATGATTGTTTCGGACTGCTTTTCATATCCAAAAGCTTTGAGAATCCCTTCTAGGAGGCTTTTTTAATGCTTCATTTTAATTCATATTCATAATTGAAATATGTGGTACCGTAACTGTACTTTGTAATTTTGTTATCGTTAATTTTTTTTAAAGTTTTTATCACTTTTATTTATATTTTACTGTCCATGGGAGTGCAAGGGGGTGCACTAATTATTGTACTCCTCAGGAAAGAAAATACAAAGGTAACAAACTTAAAATTAGATATTTTACCCGACTGCACCATGGAGGTTAGTGTTTTTTTTCGAGTGTATTTATGTAGACACAAAGCACCCCCTGAAGTATCCTCGCGTTGCCCGCGTTGACAACCCTATCGGCCAATAACGTTTCAATATAGCCGAGCTACACGTAAAATGTGCTTAAAATGTACAATAAACATTGAATTGTTTCAGATACTGTGTCCAGTTCCAAGTTTCCAAGGTATCCAAGGCTTGCCACACCGACTCCGATTACAAAGCTCTGAGAGAAGGTAAAAAAAACTCAAAAGTCATAAACATAATGTTATTTTTGCAAGTAGGCTTTAAAGCACTTATATTTTAATAATGTTTTTGTATATAATGGCATGGTATTTCAATCATTTGTGTAGTATGTGCTAGCGTTTAGCGCTGGCTAGTTCAGTGATTCGTCCCACAATACGTTCGTCCTACTGAGACGAAACACTGAATTAAAAAAAATATATATATATTTCGTTTTGGATTCGTCTCATTGAATTTATTCTTTAACATAATGAGAGAGAGAGAGAGAGTACCGTCAGTAAGTCAATGAAATAAAATAATAAATATAAATAAATAAACATGAATTTGTTAACAATGTCTGTATTTAAAAGGAAATCAACAATAAACATGTTTTTATACTTAAATCATAACAAAGTAAATACTGTAAGGTTAAAACGTTATTACCTATATGTTTAAGTAGTTAAGATTTTCTATGTTGATTTCCTTTTAAAGTTTTTTTCTATTCTATTCTAATATTTTTTTCTCAACAGGCAACACGGTCTGCGTACTCTGCGAGACGGCTGCCTTACGCCGGGATCTGAACTGGCGATGCGACGGCCACGGCGTGGCGGGCCACACGACTCGCTTCTTCGCGATGGTAGCGCCACTCTGCCACGGCAAATGGGTCCGGTCTGAGACCACCCCGGACAAACATAGCGAGTGCTGCACAAAACCCGACTTCATTTTCATTTAAATGTAATTTACTTGGAATACTTCATTTGTTTTAATTGTACTGCATTTATTTTAAAAATACTTCATTTGTTTACAAATGTATTTTATATGTTATCAATAAATGTACTTCATTTGATATCAAATGTAACTTCATTTATTTTCAAAATTTCAAACATTTTTTAAGACAATTCATTTATTTTATATTCATTTGGTTATAATTTTATTTTCGAATAATAACTATGTAGGGTAAACCAGAGAGTGATTGCCCACTGGTAGTGATTGCCCACTTTAAGAATAATATTGTCAGGTGCTGACTTTGAATCACTCTAATTAGATTTGAATTTACTAAGTAGATGGCTCCGAGATCAATGTACAGTAGATTTAAAATTTACAATAGGAAACACTAAAAAAAAACAGTTATGGCGGATTTTGTCAAGATGGGTGAAAATGTTACTCAAACAGGTAAAGACTTTAACAATTTTACTAAGGAATTATTCGCTTAGAGGTTATTTTTTTTTGCAAGTTATTTAATATTCAACTAATGGTGTTTAGTCATGATGAAATTATAAGTGTTTTCTCCATTATCAATGAAAATAACTGATAAAATTTGATTTCTAACGGTCATTTTAACGGTGGGTAATCACTGCACGTAAATCTGTATATTTTTAGTTATTGCCCACCATCATTTCAGTTATTGCCATATGTTAATGTATAGTTATTGCCCAGGGCAATTATTATTAGAGTGTTGCCACCATGCAGTAGCAGTGTTTAAGTTGCTCATTGCTAGACTTGTTTTTCAATTTACAGGCATAAATATTGAAATAGCTTTTAATGTTTCATTTTCAGTATGCCAAAGACTCCAAAAGTTCAATATAGCATAGAAAATTTGCAAAAAGCGATCGAAGCTGTACAAGATGTATCCAACAATTTATCTACAAGATAAATTGCTGAAAAATATGGCTTGGCTTGAAAAAATTGATAAAAATTTAAACGCAAATACAAAAAATTAAAATCCCACGTTAAATCTACTAGTGAAAATGTTAATTGTAAGGAAATAGATACAACTTTAGGGAAGAATAACCAACAGCTAATTGAATATTCTGAGCAACCACTTGAACTGATATCAAAGAAGATAAAAAAATAAATACATATAAAATTCAAATTTTTGCGTCATCTATGTTTTGAAGTAGATGATTCTGTCTCTACAGATTCTGACTCATCAACATCAGCTCAAGAAATATTTGATAATATGTAGTTAATAAGGCCAAACGCAATTTATTTTGAAATTTTGAAGACTGTACTACTAGAATTGAAGTTTATTGTTTTGTTTTGTTTATTTAAAGCCTATTTTGTCATTTTAAAATTGATTATTTTGTTTTAAGATAATGGGCAATTACTGTGCTTTAATGTGGGCAATTAGTGTAAGTAATGGGCAATGACTGTACTTTTTGGAGGATTTTAAATTTATTTCAATATTTTCTAAGTTACGTAAGTTTTAACTAAAAACTGTTAATATTCTGTTTAACAGTTTATTGAGTTATAAGAAAAAAGTCATAAATGGTCGATAATTAAAATACTTTCTTTAATTTTTCATCTCAAAGCGTTTGAAATGATTAAGTGGGCAATAGCTATACGGTTTACCCTATTTAACGTATTTCGTATTTACAAGTTTTTGAGATGATTTAAGAAACATATTACCCTCATGTTTCTCGAAAGTTATATTTCATTAGCATTGGATTAAAAATAGTTTAGATTTAATTTATTCATGTAAATGGCTGTCGAAGAGATATATCTTCCATAACTTATAATAGTGCTTAAACTTTCGCACTGACTAGTACCTATTATAAAGACAGCACATTAAAATATTGTTTGTTGCAAAACAGAATCTTATTACAACCATAAGATTGTATATCTTGATGTACTGTCGCCCATACTTGAAATATGAACATAAGATAGCATAGGTAGAGATTTCGTTAAAAATATGAAGTTATTCTTCATTTTTGAAACTTTCATGAAATAAATGAATAATTTGTAAATACATTAAGTTTCACAATTTTAAATCATTTTGGCATAAAGGTCAAGCGCATCACTCATTCAATGCCTGAGGTATAAAAGCGGCACGGAGTTTTTATTACGTATCAGCTCGTCGTAATAATCAGAGGTGGAATTGTGTAAAGCAATCGTAATCATTTGACAGTTCATAACGTACGATAAAGTCAGTTAAACAAAGCGTTTGACAAAATAATCGTACGTTATGAACTGTCAAATGATTACGATTGCTTTACACAATTCCACCTCAGGGATGTTATGGATATCCGTAATCGTAACCGAAACTTTCGGATATCCGAAATAAAAAAATATCCGAAACCGTAACCGTAACCGATTCAAAATTTTCGGATAGTTTCGGATGTAGGCAGTTAAAATTGTTTTTGTATAGCATTATATGTAGAGGCATAACAACCTGATTTACCTTTATAATGTCATCTAGTATCAATTTTTATATTTTTATTACTTTTTATTCGATGTAAAGTGTGCGGTCATGAATGAACCGTGTTGGACAACTATTTCAAATTGCATTCTAAAGCACAGCTATCCGTAACCGTAACCGAAACTTTCGGATATCCGAAATAAAAAAATATACATAACCGAAACCAGTATAATTATTCTTATATCCGTAACCGTATCCATAACCGAAACTACATAATTATCCATAACATCCCTAGTAATAATATCAAAATCACGAACCCGCTTTGACGGAGTTGAGCGCTTGATCTATGGTAGTGGAATTTATAACGACGGACCTAGAATTATCAATAATATTTCCGATTAATTTTAGGAAATTAATGTAACTATAATTTTATAATATAATTAGGATATTAACCGAATAGCATGTGAATACATATCTAATTAAACGATTTATGTATATAAAATGTTGATTAAATGCTAAGAAAAGTCAATAATTTTTCATTTAATTCTCTCCGTCATTCATACAGTTTTCACGGTAGGTTAAGTTTATTTTTTTTTCTTCAATATTATATTTTAAACTAGCTTTCCGCCCGCGGCTTCGCCTGCGTGGACTACATTATATGTATAGCCTATAAACCTGACGGAGCCCGAGACCTTTCCAACGAATGCAAAACCGTGGAAATCGGTTCATGCGTTTTGGAGTTATAGCGTCAGGAAGGAAAACCCGACTTATTTTTATATAGTAGATTAGAGACTCAAGGGTTCGATTCCTGTTAGAGAATAAAACTAAGGGAAGGAGATCAGTTCTTTGAAAATTATAAATAACTTGAAGAAATCGAACTGCCTAAGGCGGGAATCGAATTCATGACCTTTCGCTTGCCGGGCAACTGCTCTTCCATCTGAGTTACTTAGACACTGGATGAACCCATCGAGGGATGCAATTCTAAATGTCAAAAAAAAACTTAAGTAAGATAAGTTCTTGTTTTTAATAATCTAATACAAATGAGTCTACTAAAAAAACACATTATACTAAACTGTTTCAAGTACAGCTTTGTATTCTAGCTACACCTCGGTATACCGATACAGCTTTATAAATCTGATTTAGTTTTTTATGCGTACAAACTAGTGTTGTATCGATATCGACATTCTACAGTCGGTTACGCCGAATGAGCTTAGTAATTGAAGAACTCGACTACTTATGGTAGAGCAGAGCGAAGAAGAGATGTGTGGCGTTTCCATATAAAGAAAACGGATGAAAACAGATTAAAGGAAGAAATAAACCTCAAGCAAGTGCCAGCAAAGTAGATTAGATCCACTATAGGCTGCTGTCCTAAAAGGTCACTATATAGGGCTACTAATGTATTCTGTGCTATCGGGCAAATAGCGAACATCTCAGGTTTCCTCTACTTCTCTGTCTGGTGGCTGAAGAGTAGGCCAATTTCTCCACTTGCTTCCGTTATTAGAGATTGTCGTGCTGCGGCAATGACTAAATGACTGGACAATAAAATGGCAAAACAGACAAACAATGACAGTTTTAATGTCGAAAGATGGTCGAAATGCTTTTTTTTGTGTGGAGTTACAAAGGATTCGATTTTCGATTCGATCGACCTACTAAAGATGACAACGAATCCAACTATCGATACACGATTACTATATTTCCACATCACTACAGCGGGGTTCAGCATTTATTTTACTTGCCCTCCTGATAAGATACACGGTTATCACTGTCGTTGGCGGTGCAATATACATGTAAATGTGCGAGGGGTCGCCACCGTCGTCATGACAAGCACCATTACATCTAACCCGATATTAGGCGAGGATTTTTTAGACTACCCTCTGTTTTGTGACTTTTTTGCTAGATTATTACAACCGACTCCAAACTCCTCCTTCTACCCGTTCGCGCTAAGTTTGCCGGTCCGTAGAATGCGCGTCCCCTTCCCCAACCGCGATTAGAAGCAATTAGTGATTAAACGCAATTAATGTGTCTTATTTTACGCAAATACACAATTTTTATCAATAAAAATAAATAAAAAATATTTTAAATATAGTTTGTTATACTTATAGACGGATATTATGTTCTTCTAATTAATTTCGTTGCGGGTCCAATGACAGTTTCTTTCCCTCGGGACAAACTTGACCTTCACTGGTTGGGTTTTTATTGGCGGTCAAGCTGTAGATCCTGGCTACACACGAGTTGCAACGAGAGGTGGGAATACTCCCGTAGGTTAATCCAATGGTTGATGGTTCGAGTCTTAAAGGGTGTAAACTTATGAGACGAGGGTTGTTCACATGTCAGTCCTGTTTTGCGGGATCGTGCATTACTGGATCCGGCAAACCGCCTCTGTGGTCTAGTGGTAAGGCCTCCTGCTTTAGACGCAGGGACCTCTGCCCGGGAGGGTTCGATTCCCAGTGGGGGAAATTTTTTCTGTTCGGTTTGGTTGGTGGTAGGGCTTGTTCTAAGTCCGCCTGGCTAGCTACCACCATCTTACCTAAGTCTGTCGCCATAACAACAATGTTAACATCGCTTCCACCTTCGGCCTGATCGTCACTTACCAT